ATGTTAACTTAGACCAAAGATAGGCCTGAACTGGATGATACTCGCCTAAGGCCACAATCAGGATCGTTCTCAGGTTTGGGTTTCACTGGACACTAACCAGCAAGCTGTAGGAATGATGGGGATACTCTGTCGCTGCCTGCGTACCACTTTTAGATAATAGTAAATCAGTTTCAGGCATAAATCTTGAAAATAAAACAGAGAGTAGAATTTTCCCAGCCATAGCATGGGCAATGGCAAGAAAGTTGGGAGAATGATGTGAGGTGCTCCTTGGCATCACGAGCAATAAATCCCATTTTCCAACCAAGAGGCAAGGTGAGATTCTCTCTAGTAAATGGTAAGAAGTTTATGAGCAGGCATTAACATCCTCATTATTATGCAGTCTTCCATTCTCCTACCCATCAGATAGACGGCGACAATTCCCGACATGAAAGTCAAAATGATAACCTGGTGACTGCAGCTTGCTGCTCGCTTCTCCAGGTTTCCAATTTGGATACAAAGCACCAACATCTCAGAGCATTCTCCATGGACGGTGACCACATATCTCCTGCCCATTGAGATCTCCAGGTTTTTGTGGCAAAGCAGGTTGTCAATTTCCTTCTGTCCCACATATCTGAGAGAATTGACAGGAATCATGCAGGACAGCTGCGGACAGCCAAACTAGTGCTTGTACAGCTGGAGTTTAAGGATGGCACTTATGCCAGGAATCCTGGGAGACGCCGGCCATGGCCTGTGATGAGTGTGACGCCACAAAGTCATGATGCATAGGTGATGAGGAATGCTTGGGAAGATCGTGAGAAAACTGCTAGGACTCACAGAGAGAAACCCTCTGTGAAACTCACCAAAATTGACATTCAGCTGATTTCTCGTAAAATACAGCCCAGAATCTTTCCCTTTCTAGAACAGTCTTCAGCAATACTTGTAAGGGGAGGCAATGGCCTAGTTGTGTTATTGCTAGACTATTAATCCAAAACCTTAGCTAGCATACTGGGGACCTAAGTTCGAATCCTGCCACTACAGATGGTGAAATTCAAATTCAATTTTTTTTTTAAAAATCTGCTATTAAGAATCTACTGATGACCATAAAGCCATTGCCAATCGTTAGGAAAAAGCTGTCAAGCTCACTAGTGTCCATCAGGGAATGAAATCTGCCATCCTCACCTGGTTTGGCCTACATGTGACTCTCACCTGCCCTCTGAAATGGCGAAACAAACCACTCAGTTGTATTAATAGCTATGAAATGTCAGCAAAGAAATGAAAACAGATGACCACCTGACATCAACCAAGCCACCAGAAGTGACAACAACAGAAACAGCCCTGTTGACCTTGCAAAGTCCTCCTTACTAACATCTGGGAGCTGGTGCCAAAATTGGGAGAGCGGTCTCACAGACTAGCAAGCAACAGCCTGACATGGTCTGTAAGATATGATTCCATGAGTGTGACTGTGTCCCAGACACCACCATCACAATCCCTGGATATGTCCTGTCCCACTGGCGGGAGAGACCTAGTAGATGTGCCCTTACAGGTAGGAGGGATTTGCCCTATCTGTCCTAAACATTCACTCCAAACCCCATGAAGTCTCATGTCATTAGGTCAAATATGGACAAGGAAACCTCCTGCTGATTACCACGCACCTCCTCCCTTGGCTGAAGAATCAGTAATCTTCCATGTTGAACAAAATGTACTCTGGGTGGGGGATTTCAATGTCCACCACCAACAGTAGTTCAGCAGCAGCACAACTGACCAAGTTGGTTGGGTCATAAAGGACATAGCCGCTAGTCTGGGCTCCCAGCGTGTGGTGAGGGAACAAACAAGTGGGAAAGACATACTTGACCTCATCCTCACCAATCTGCTGGCTACAGATGCATTTGTCCATGACAGTATTGGTAAGCGTGACTATCGCACAGTCATTGTGCAGAAAACATCCTGCCTTCACGTTGAGAAACCTCCATTATGTTGTGTGGCATTGTCACTGTGCTAAATGGGACAGACTTTGAACAGATCTAGCGACTCAAGTCTGGACATCTATGACACGCTGTGGGCCATCAGCAGCAGCAGAATCATACTCCAGCACAAGCTGCAGCCCCATGGCCCAGCTTATACCCCACTCAATCATTACTATCAAGCCAGGGATCAACTCTGATCCAATGGAGAATTCAGGAGGGCATGCCAAGAGCAACACCAGGCATACCTAAAAATGAGGTATGAACCTGGTGAAACTACCAAATAGGACTACATGTGTGCCAAACAGCATATACATGCACAACTAACAGATCAGATCTAAGCCCTGCAGTCTTGCCACATCCAGTCATAAATGGTGGTGGATAATTAAACAACTTTACTTGAGGAGGAGGCTGCAAAAATATCTCCATCCTCACTAATTGAAGAGCCCAACCTATCAGTGCAAAAGATAAGGATGAAGCCTCCTTCAATGGTTCCCAACATCCCCAGATGCCAGTTTTTCAGCCAATTCAATTCACTCCATATTGTATCAAGAAATGGTTGGAGGCTGTGAATTCTGCAAAGGCAGTGGGCCCTGACATCATTCCGGCAATGGTATTGATGACTTGTGCTCCAGAACCTAGCGGTTCCCATGATCAAGCTGTTCCAGTAGAAAATTGCTCAGGTGTGTCCTATACACAAAAATCAGGACAAATCCAACTCAGCCAATTACTGCCCCATGACTCTACTTGGGCAGTAACCATCTACAATAAGAGACAATCTAACCACCAGCCATTGACATTTAATGGTGTCACCATCACTGAATTCCCCACAACAATGTCATGGGAGATTACCATTGACTAGAAACTCAACTGGACTCACCACATAAATACAGTGATTACAAGAGCAGATCAGAGGCTAGGAATACCGTGTCAAATAACTCACTTTCTGACTCCTCAAAGCCTGTCCATCATCTACAAGGCACAAGTCAGGAGTGTGGTGAAATACTCCACACTTGCCTGGATGGGTACAACTTCAACAACACTCAAGAAACTTGACACCATCTAGGACAAAGCAGCCCATTTGATTGACACCACATCCACAAATAACCATTCCATCCACCACACTTGGTAGCAGCAGTGTGCATCATCTTCAAGATGCAATGCAGAAATTCACCACAGATCCTTAGATGGCACATTCCAAAACCACAACCACTTCCACCAGTAGGACAAGGGCAGCAGATACATGGGAACACCACTAACTGCTAGTTCCCCTCCAAGCCACTCACCATCCTATCTCAGAAACGTATCACCGTTCCTTCACTGTTGCTGAGTCAAAATCCTGGAATCCCTTCTCTAAGGGCACTGTGGGTCTCCCTACAGCACATGGACTGCGGTGTTTTGACAAGACAGCTCACCACCACCTTTGCAAGGGCAATTAGGTATGGGGAATAAATGCTGGCCAGCCATGCCAATGTTCCATAAATGATTTTAAAAACTTGTAAGAGCTGCTGGTGGATCTCTCAATGACCAGTATTGCATTCTCTGCGCGCTTGTATATTTAAATCACACTCAGTTTCTGACATCCAGCAGAGTACCCTATTTTATCTATTCAAGCAGCTGCACACCTGCGTTAAGCAAGACAGTTAAAACCTATTTAAAGGATTGTCTGAAAATTGAATCTGCAGGGGAATGAGTTTACAAAATACCCACTGGCTTTTCTCTGTCAATCATTTACTTTTCAAATGACAGGTAGCAGCTGGCTGTTGAAAATCGCTGACCTCTGAATCATGGTGCTGACAGTTAAGGTGGCAATTAACAAAGGACAGAACTGCCCCTCAGAAGCAGGGTATCACTTACATCTCATTTTGTGTGGTCGGCTGTCTTACATTTGGTGAAGCTGGAGATTCAGCATCAAGATGACTATCAATGCACTGGTGGGGGGGTGGGCGCAGGCCTCTCTTTATTTTCCGCTTTGTCTCAATCACATAAGCTGAGAGCAATATACGCAAAGCATAAAGCAATACATGTCAACTGTTTTGCAACAGATAGTTTATCACAGTCATTTTTAGTTGCTGTGAATCCCAGTCTTCATTTTCCACTTTTTGTCAGCAGTTTTCATTTGTAGTTGGTGCAATGTAGGTGGAAGTCCTTGACAGTTATAAAAACATTTCCCAGCATCCAGCAATCCTTCATTGGATTGTAGAGTTCTCCCAATCAGCTGCAGCAGCTTAGGCATAAAACCTAGTTAAAGCTGTAAACAGGGTTTCCAGCCATCCCTGCCAAATTTGCACTGGCTGAATGGAAGAGCCCACAAGTAGATTCATGATGTTCATCATTGTCTGCAGTGTTTTTTTGTCTTTGCTGTAACTGCACTAGTACTTCCCAGCAGAAATGCTGTATTTCATAACAAATTTCTTTGCGTTTGTGAATTGTGTAGCCTAGATTTGGTATTATTGCAACATCGGCAACCAAAAAAGGTAAGAAAGGACTTTGAATTTGATAACAACGTGTATTTACACTAAATATAGTAGTCGATCATTTGATGATATCTGAATTCTGACTATCATTTTAGAGTTCATTATTACGTTGGGCAGTCAACCAGCTATTGCATTGGTCACATAGAAATGTGCTGTTTCGAGACGCACGCAGCCAGGAGAAATTAAAGCTTTGTCTTTTGTATAGTTTCAATTTGCTTTTGTGCTGCTTCTATTGATATCAAGATTTTCATCAGAACTTTTAGGATCTATATTTAAAGAAAATTGGCAAAAATATTAAGGTGTCACTGTAAAAGCAGGTTATTTTAGTTCATAAATAAGACAAAGAACTGCAAATGCTAGAAATCTGAAACTAAAACAGAAAGTGGAGAAACTCAGCAGTCTGGCAACATCGTGGAGAGAAAGTAGAGTTAACATTGAATCCAGTAACTCTTCTTCAAATCTAGTTATTTTACTTCATGCTGTATTGTGAATAAAATGTTGCACTATAAAGAAATGCCACTAAAACGCAAAGCATTAATAATATCTCTAAAGCAAACTTATAATTAAATCTTGTTTCCTCAAGGAATTTTACATTAAATGAAAAGAAATTTCAATACTGGGAGTTTGAAAACTTTCTAACCACAGCTCATCAGAACAGGATTTCGGAGAATCTGTTCTCTCTTACAGAAACAGCTACAGTTTAACAAAGACACAATGGCTACACAGTCTGTGCCAAAACTTGAAGCAAAGCTTTTCGAAGACGGACAGGACAACCCAGAGAGTCAGAATGATGACCATCTGAGGAGTCTGAAAGCACTCACTCAAAAACTGAGGCTTGAAACCAGAAGACCTTCCTATTTAGAATGGAAAGCCAAACTTGAAGGGAAAGACTGGAAAAGCCCAAAGCCAGAGGACCAAGGGCTGGTAATGACAAAGAAACCCAGTGAGGAGCCCAGTAACTTCATAAGAACACAAAAGCAGCTCAGTGGGAGTTCTGTCAGTGATGGCAACTTTACTTCAGGAAAATTTAGTGGCTTTGAGAATATGGATGAAGCACTAAGCTGGCTCCGGAAGGAATTGGTAAGTTCAAACATGTTCTCTTTTATTCTTAAGATTAACAAGACATGCTTTCCTTATCTGGCTCTCTTAAAGGAGCATTGCTGAGCAAAATGGATAATACTAAGATGAACTGGTGTAATTATTTTTGCCCTGGTTTTACTTCAGTTCAATTTACTTCAGCTTTAAATGTTACCTTTATAATCGAGTTACCGATTTGCCTGAAGAATTATGCTAGTGGCTCAAAGCTGCTATTCATCTGTCCCTATTTTTGCCATAAAGCAGATTGAGCCCCGTGTACATGTCAACAAATTTCACAGTAAAGATACCTATCTCAGTCCATCATTAAAACGTATTATTTATCCAGCAAAACACTATTCACAAGCACCAAAGTAGCAACTTTGCATTGAAAGAACAAACTCATTTGCAGCAACAACTTGCTGAATGTGGCCATTCATTTCAAAGAAAATATAGTTATTTACCAACATAGTGATGCAAATTCAAATATATCAATGGGTAATGAAATATAAAATAAGGCGGTGTTCATGAATATCAATGCATGCATGTCTTTAACTACATATGTGATGGAATACTCCATGGATGAGTTCAGCTCCAACAATACTCAAGAAGCTTGACACCATCCAGGAACAATGCAGCCCGTTCGATTGGCACCACATCCACAAATAACCATTCCCTCCACCACTGACGCACAGTAGCAGCAGTGTGCAGTATCTGCAAGATGCAGTGAAGAAATTCACCAAGAATCCTTAGACAGCACCTTCCAAACCCATGACCATTGCCATCTTAAAGGGCAAGGGCAGCAGAAACATGGGGACATCATCTCCTGCGGTCCCCCTACAAGCCACTCACCATCCTGACTTGAAAATATATCCCCGTTCTTCCAGTGTCACTGGGTCAAAATCCTGGAATCCTTCCCTAATGGCATTATGGGTCTACCTGCAGCATATGGACGCAGCGGTTTCAGAGGGCACCTTCTCAAGGGCATCTTGGGATGGGCAAATATATGCTGGCCCAGCCAGCGATGCCCACATTCCATAAGTGATCAAAAAAAAGTGAAAAAGGAAAACCTATCAAGAACATTTTGTAGCACAGGCAGAAAAGGTTTGCATGTCACTATCTGTTCCTGATATTAACTGACATGTGTTTGGGAGTATCTGTGTGTAGGCACTACACATGTTGTAACACCAACCAGCGGCACTTCATGGCCACAGATGAGGCTCCATGGATGGAGGTCTACAATAAGAGCCTATTGCACCATATAGAAGCCTTAATGTTTGGCTCCGTCTGTGCACAAAGGTGTAGTTGCCAAAGAGTTGTCCAGCAGTGGCAGTGCCAGAGCAGTTCAACATAAAGAGTCAGTGCTTAGGATGGCCAAGGAGTAGGTACCTGTGGCCAATGTTCTTTCCCTTTAGAAGCCTGATAATCAATTGTTACTACAGCACTTCCTTCACAGGTCGAATCACCTACCTCATCCACTCAGAGTGTGTTCGGAGCCATTTTCTTCCCCATTGCGCACTTTCGATATCCAGCACAATGGAAGACAACAGGGAATGATCCTAAGCCAGTGACTGTCAATCTCAGCCTGAGCCCCAGACATCCACATTTTCTTTGTGGTAGCCCATCCCCACAGGCTTCACACTTCACCAAGTTCCCACCCAACCTGTCTACATCTACCTACCTTTCCCACACAGCCACTAGCATAACATATGACATGATCATGCCTGGTGTGGTTATACACTGCCCACCCACTTGAAGATGGCGTGCTCCTAAATGTGGACCAAATCCCCAGCACTACCACCACCCAGCCCCCCAACTCCACCCCCATTACACTGCTCCCAGCCATGCTTTCCCGTGTCACCCATTTGCAAATCTTGCTGCCACCTCCCTGCCCCCATGCACAGTGGTACTGCACCCCAGCCCAGAGCCTGTAACCCCAGTCCCCAAGACCAACCTGCCACACTCAGTCCTGCAGCAGAGGCCACACATCCCACCTCCTTTCAGTTTCTGTGGACAGATCCAACAGACTGACCATGGCCCACTCCCTCGAGTGACATGACAAGACATCCACGGGCAATGTGTGCCCAGCACTCTGACTGCTGCATGTATATCCCCTTGACATGTTGGCCCAACCCACAAACATGCTGTTATGAAGCCAAAGGACTTACCCACTCCCTAGACTGCAGAGATACAACCCCTAACCAATAAAACACTGACCAGCTGCCTGAGCATGGCCAATCCCCTGGACTGGCATCAGTGTCTGTGCTTGGCTTAATGGGCCAGGACCTCCTGACTATCAGTTGCCTCCATGAGCTTCGGTAAGGACAAGTCCCCCAAGAGTTTGAGACATGGCTGTCTACTTGCTGCATGTGCATTCTGTTTGTTACATAACCTGCTGGTACATGATGCAGGTCTGACATTGATCTAGCACAGTGCCATACAGTAAGATGTGCAGCCCCCTTGGCTGAGAACTGCTCAGCAGCAGTGCAGGCTGCTTGTTTTTGTGACTGTGTGAATCAACACAGCAAGGCAAGGTAGAGATGGTATGGGCAAGATTCCCCGAAACTATGCAGCTGCTCAGCCACGTGGAGATTTTGTACACATCGACCGACGGATTGACATTTGGATCAAGAAGCCACTGCCGGTTATAATCCTCGGAAGTCCGCGCAGCAACAGAAAAATTAGAGGGAATGTAGGCTATGAGTGTACAGGTAGGTGCTAAGTGAGTGAGGGCTAAGATGCAGCCTGATCCAATCTGTGAGCTGGGTGCCTGTCCATGCATTGAAAGTGTCTCTCATGCAGCCTTTCAGTGTCAGTTGCTGATGTGCCTGCAGTTCAAGTCTATGCTTCCAGAGTTCACTGCCAAGTGGGTATTACAAGTGGCAGCATGATGCTCTTCGGAGGGTCAGTGTAAACTCAATGGGCCAAATGGCCTACTTCCACAGTGTAGGGATTCTACGACCGAGGGTTGGGCTTCCTCTATTCAAGACCCACTAAGACTGCAAGTAGGCCCACAAAGCTTGAAGGTGGGCATCGAACCAAGGTAAGTTCCACATTTCCGGCAGGGAAGGATCAGGTGCCCTGGAGATGAGGTGGGGTTGATAAGGAGTATTGGCTAAGGGAGCAGGTTTTAGCAGGGAAGCCCAAATATTCAAAAGTTTGGTGTGGAGCACTGGGGATATGTAGTGTGTGCATTTCTTTAGGCGTTGCCTGTTAAGCTCCCAAAAAAAAGGACAAAAAATGGCAATCTCACTCTTATCCATCTTTCATGGTATTATGGCAGTGGAAGTGGATTATGGGTCTTACGTGGGCAATAAATTACGATGCAAGGGTCTCAATAGGCCTAAGGGCGAGAAGATTAATGAATGCCTTTCCCATCCCTAGTATTCAGGGGTGGACAAGAAGGTGGTGGGCTACCATTATGACATACTTTACGAGCCACCTCTGCCCCATGCCCTGAAAACACACACGTAGGCTGGGACTGTAGGATACAGCCCAGACATATTCACAACATTAATAGCACAAACATTTAGTTGTATTGATTTCTACGCACCAATTAAAAACTGATGCAAATTTGCTTTTTATTAAATTGGTGGCAAATATTAGTAAAATCTATAATTCAGCTTCATTTCAACAAATCACCTTTTAATCATTCAGGGAGCGTGAGTTGTTGGCTGGCCCATTATTTATTGCGCATTCCTATTCATTCTTGAAAAGGTGGTGTGAGCTGCCTCCTTGAACCATTGCCGTCTATTTGGTGTATGCATGCTGTTGCATTGGGTGGGGGGGATAGTTCCAGGATTTTGACCCAGTGACACAAGGAACGGCAATATATTTCCAAATCATGATGTTGAGTGACTTGGAAGGGATTTTGCAGATGGTGATGTTCCCATGTATGTGCCACCCTTATCCTTTGAAATTGTAGTGGTCTTGGCTTTGGAAAGTGCTTTCTAAAAAGCCAAAATGAATTTCTGCACTGCATCTTCTAGATGGTGCACACTGCTGCTGCAGTGTGTTGATAGTGGAGGAAATATATGTTTGTGGGGCTCAGGGGAGTCAGGAGGCAAGTTACTTGCTACTAAGATCCCGAGCCTCTAACCTACTCTTTTAGCCATAGTGCTGAATTTATATGGCTATTATAGTTCAGTTTCTGATCAATGGTAACCGCCAGGATGTTGATAGTGAGCGATTCAGTGATGGTAATGTCATGGGGAAGTGGTTAGATTTGCTGACTTGGAGATAGTCATTGCCTGGCACTTGTGCGGTGCAAATATTACCTAGCACTTGTCAGCCCAAGCTTGATATTGTCTGGGTCTTGCTGTATTTGGACATGGATTGCTTCAGTATCTGAGGAGTTATAAATGGTGCTAAACATTGTGCAGTCATCATAGAATCCCTCCACTTCTACATTAAGGTGGAGGGAAGGTCATTTTTGAAGCAGCTGAACTCCTGTTGAGTTGTCCTGGAGTTGAAATGATTGACTTCCAACAACCATAACCTGAAAAAAAAAGTCCTGAAGGTTCTCAAGTCTTGAAGACAAAAGGTATCATCAGTTGATGATAAGTGATATTAGGATAATTTAATGAATTCAGCTATAGGCAACAAGTAGATGATAGGCAGCGGACTGTTTGGAAACAAGAAGGGACGTGGAGTTCAATCTTCCCAAAAAGGAGTAAGTTTATTAAGACATGAGTGAATACTGATATTAGGGTTCCATATACATGACTTATGGATCAATAGAAGGATTGCCTTACTGTTCTATTACACTGCCCATCTTCAATTTGACAAGAGTAATTAGCACACAAAGCCCATTATTATTTGAAAATGTAATCTGCCAGAAGTAAAATGTCAATTTTAAGTGACCCCCAAACATATTTTCTAAATATATTTGGTTACGGCATGGTTTTTAATCAAGGACAGAAGGTCCTTTCAGCTCAGCTGATCTGTTCCTCAAGGCACAGGCATAACTCAGAAGCATGGCCCAACATTTTGTGCTTCTGCTGAGAAGAGCAATTGAGAAAATGTGATAACAAGGTGTGGAGCTGGAGGAACACGGCAGGCCAGACCACATCAGAGGAATGCATGCTCTGATGCTGCCTGGCCTGCTGTGTTCCTCCAGCTCCACACTTTGTTATCTCAGACTCCAGCATCGACAGGTCCTACTATCTCTAATTGAGGAAATGTGCCTATTTATTGAACTCGTGTGACTGTGTTTTTGCTGCTTGTACTAATCCACAGGGTTTCTTTTTAAACCAGACGGAAATGCGTCTGCAAGATCAGCAGCTGGCAAGACAATTGATGCGTCTTCGTAGTGACATCAACAAGTTGAAGATTGAACAGACCTGCCATCTTCACCAGCGAATGCTTAATGATGCCACCTATGAACTGGAGGAGAGAGATGAACTGTCGGATTTGTTTTGTGACTTCCCAATGACGAATGCCTTCACACTTTCAGCACCCCTCAAACTTATCGGTGTTACTAAAATGAACATTAATTCCAGAAGGTTTTCTTTGTGTTAGACTTACTGAAAGCACTGTGCAATTCAGACTGTTAACAGTTTCTCTTTGGAGATGACTGGAGTAAGCTTCAGCAGTGCAGAGAAATTATGCAGAGGATTGTTCCTTTTTCTAAGTTTTTGTGGCCTGTTTTTTGCAGTCTTGCCTTCAGCCTTTTCTGAAGACAGCAACTTTTGCTGCTGTATCAGACAGTGTGTAATGGAAACCCTCCAAATAGGGTACCTGCAGGCTATTTGACCACAAAATCCAATCTCCTCCAACATATAATAGGAGCCCGCACCATTGGAGGTGAGAAGCATTAAACCTGGGAAGATTTTTACACTTCCCATCTCTAGGGATCCTGTGACCAATTCTGTCACCCAAGCCAGGTTCCAGTGATGAAATATCTTACCTTCTTAGTAATCAGGAGAGAAGGACTTTGAGGCTGAATGCAGTATTACAATATTCATGGAAAAAATGTAAACAATTGGTAATTACAGCTGGTTTTAGTCAGTTTCTTGAAGTGGGTAATTTACAACCATAGTGCAGGTAGAAACAGGCAGTTATGGATTGGCTGCTCATTATACAGCCCACCGAATTTTCCAATCTGGAGAAGGTAACAGAAGGGATAATCGAGCGCAAGCACCAGTTTCCCTCATTGGGCCAATATCAAGCCAAAAAATATATGGCGGGAGGGCCTGTAAATAGAACCACTGGGTTATCATAGCCCATCATTGGTTTATAATTTTAAAAAACACTGGGACAGTACTTCTACAAACTGTAGAAAATGCTTTCTGACACCATTCTTGCAGTCTGTGCGAAAATCGCTCTCCTCTTTACCCAGACCATACCGGAATTGGGTCATGAACTCTATTGGTGTGCAAATTGGGATCCAGTAATGTTCACATGATTCAATTTGCTACTGGAAGTGTACAGTTAGAAAGCTGGAATTTTCAGAGCACCGTTAATGTTTAGACCAGGTAATTTGCTTCCTCCTCAGATGTCCCTAACTAAAATCTGAAAACGGCAAACATACCTTGAAATGAGACTCGGCCCCATAAAGAGGTTAATTAGTCAAATCTCAGAGACACTGCAGTAAAAATTCAAGTCAGATTTTTGTAATCAAATACTTACCAAAGCCAATGCACTATAGTAATTTATAAAAGGGAAGCAGTTAGATTAATTAACTTTGTGAGTATGATCCTGATAGTTGTGTAACATAGCTAGTTAAAACAGCAATACATTGTACTGTGCAGTATAGTGAGATACTGTTTTATACTTAGAACTCCCAAAATGAAGAGTCCTATATTCTCGTCAAGATTTCACTCGGGGCTGCCAATCACTGCCAAGGAATCACTGACAGCCTGTTATCATCATTCCTAAGTAACCAGCAACAGATAAGCGTTGACCAAGATCCAGAAATGGTTTGCTTGTCTGTGTTTATCACCTGCAGAATGGGATATGAGGTGTAAAAAAAACCAACAAAGGGAAGATAAGAAAGTACAAAACAGTAAACAAGAAAAGTAAAGAAAGCTAATCAAATTAATTTCTGATTTGATGCATATTTGTCTCCACGTGTTAATGAATCTCAATGCAAAGGAAGTCAAGATTTCTTACAGACTTCACAACAATGTTTAAATTGATTCATTAAAGTTAATTAAATTAATGGGGCCATCGTTCTGCTGGGAAACAACCCCCTGGAACCATAAAGGCAAATAATAAGATACAAATTAAGGAAATACCTGCTCTTAACATGGTAGAATGGAAAGCCTGAGCAATCGTTCACAGAGAGAATTATTGCACAGGCCAAAAAGGAGCAGTAATTTTGTGCAGAATGTTGGCTGTTTGTAATACAGATAATGCAGAGGGGTGAGTATTCTGCAACTGCTGGTGGAAGACCTAGGCCAATATTTTAAGTTCCCATGAAACTTCAGTTTCCATTCTTTTCACAGTTTTTTCTCTCTCTTCTGATAGCAGCGATTTGTCTTGGAGAATGGTTCCATGGGATTAGTAACCATTCAATTAATTTTAATTGGCTACTCTTCATGAGTCTAAGCAGACTATTTGTTCAATCAAGCCTAATGCCCATGCAAAACTTCTGGGAGAGTTAAAGTTCACTGGAAACTAACCAATGAACTGTTAATGTTCCTAATCTGTATGGTTCAATACCAAACCATTGAAACTCAGAGGGAAAATTAACACAACAAGTCATATTTTTCTCATGATTAGTACTGCATCTTATTCAATTCTTGATTTTTTTTTGTCAAAGTATTATTACACAGATGAAAATGGACATAGACAGCCATGCAAGATCTATTTGTCACTGGCTGACAAAAGAAGCAAGAGAGAGTGAACAAGGCCCAGATAGATATGTCCCTCTCTATATGATAAAATGCCTTCTGTGTACAAGTATTTCAAGTATTTTGTTTTGATTTACAAAAAAAAAAGTGAATATTTGAAAGAAATGTCCTTGGAAAATTAGCATAGGTACTGCTAAATTAACACATAGTTAAGAAATGTTTGATAGGAAAAAATCCATCTGAGTAACAAACAGCATGTAACCAACCATACTGTAACATCCTGATACAAATACACTGCTGGCCATGGACAAATGCTGATATGATATGACATTGATGTTCAGCAATGGCATTTCATCCAGAATGTATTTGTTTCAAGTTCAGAAAGTCAATAACTAGCCACAATACCTTGTATTTTTTTTGGTCCTTTGGTGGCATTAGTAATTGTTTGGCTTCACACCAAAAATAGCATTATATCGTGACGTGATTCCCATTGAAGAATCAAAAGCTCTCTTTTCCATTTCTCATTTTAAATTGATCAGTTATTCTTATTGTCAATCTCCATTGAATAAAAACAAGTTTCTCCTCATCAGTAGCAATAATTTTGTTGTGGCATCATCAAAATTAATAAAAATCTGTTAGAGGAAACCAAAGTCAATTTTAATTTTTACTGATTCTGATCAAAGGTGGTGGGATTTCCCATTGCGATTGGAAGAGAGAAATTCTGTACTGTCATTGTGCTGCTTGGATAAGTTCTGAAGTGTTGGGATCCTTACTAGGCGTGGAGTGAAAACTGCTATTTCTCAGCAGATTTTGGTTCTGCTGGACCACAGGATTCTGTGGTTAATCCAAAACGTTACCAGGCAGCCTTAAAGTACTGATACTAATGCAGTGGACAGAATCATCATCCACAACCCCAAATCTTAACTTCTTGGAGATTTCATGTGGTGGAAATTTATGGATCCAGACTCAACTAAATTCCAAGCTCCCCTGGGTTTTACCCTCGAACTACAGTTTCACCTTCCTCATTTCAATCTATTTAAATTGTGGCTTTCTCCAGAAAGTTAGTTTTCTTACTGTTCAGTCCTGATAAATGCAAGGTACAAACCTTTGACTTCAAGTCTTAAGAGCAATGTTTGTGCTATCAAAATTATGCAAAATTTGTGAGCTCCTTTCTTTAGTACTGTACATTATGTGACAATTAACTGTGCATGGCAGAATCAGAGCAACGTTACAGTGCAAAAGGAGGCCATTCATGCCTGCATCTACTGTTCACACAACCATCATTACATGGCAACACCAGCATCTGGAAATTCCCCTCCAAACCACTGACCATTTGACTTGGAATTATATCACTGTTCCTTCACTGTCGTTGAGTCCAAATCCTGGAATTCCCTCTCTAAAGGGCTTTGTGGGTCTACTTACAACAAATGGACAGCAGCAGTTCAATAAAACGGTTCACCACCACCTTCTCAAGTGTATCTAGGGATGAGCAATAAATGCTGGCCAGCCAGCGAAGCCCACAGCCTGCGAATGAATAAAAAAGATCACTGTGTAGTAACAATCTGCTTTTCCACCATACCCTTGCACACTATTCCTATCCAAAACTTTTATGTAAAGTGACAAATGTCAGTCTCGAACTGACACCCCAATATCTCTGGCCTTGAAGGAGCTGACAGCACCTTCTACCCCCATGCCTACCACCCAATCCTTCATTTGGACTAGAGTCCTCACCAGCCCTATCTCCAAGATCCTGCTGGAGTTGACACTCTACACCACCAATCCTTGCTGGAGTCAATACCTCTTTGCCATACACAGTCCGGGGGGGTGTAACAAACCCCCAGTCCAGTCCATCCCTGCTAAAGCCACCGTCCTGACTGAACCCAGTCCTGCTGAACCCAGCATACTGCTAACTGCACCTACTTCTGACACAGTTCAACCCCTCAATGGCGCCCTCAGCATCCCTACCCAATTGCCACACTGTCCACATGGCGCACTACCCCTTAACCTACCCACCTATTACCCTATCCTTCACTTAGCTTGCACACACAGCTTCCCTTTCACTGTGAAGGCGACTTTGGGATTTTTAACTCGTGAAGTACAGCAGCAAGTATTGTGAAAAGGGGCATGTCTTGTAACGTTACTCCTGCAGCGAGTGGATTTCTCCCCGATATTTCTGACTGATGCATTGGGGACAGGCTTTTGTTGGATTCTTGCCAGAGAAAAACAAATCGCCGACAGGTAAGTAGGTAATTATAAAGATGATTACTGTCAGTCAAATCTGACCCGATTGTAATTGGAATATTGAGCCAAGAGAATTCCTTAGTACTTCCAACACTTTGTGTTTTTATTTCAGATTTTCAGTACGTGCAGTACTTTGCTTTTATTTAACTGGGGAACTTATACATTGTTCCAGCACCAAATGTCAGACAAGCAGCCTGATGCAGTCAGTATCAATATGGTAGAGGGATTGAAAGAGGTGAGAGTTGAGCTACATGTAAATCATTAAAAGTGCTTTGTAAATACACTTTGTTGCTGTGGTAGCTTGTATTAGTCGCTAGGGCTCAGGAACAGGAACATAGATGTTTCTTTCTATCCCCATTGGTCTCTCATATATATTTTTGATAACTGAGCTATGGTGAACTTAATTATCTGTTGTTATACCACTGATTTTATCTTTGGATTGGATTAAGCAAAGGTTTTCATAGTTTTATCATCCTGTTTTGAAATTCTATGCAATCAGGATCTACAGCCAGCAGATTTACAGGAATGCAGCTGATCGGAGACATTTAAGTTTGATTTTATAGGCTAAAGTCTATAGTATTAATGATTCCAAGCTTGATGAATCAGTAACATGGAGGTCCCTGAAGCCGGCATCTAATGTTTCTGCTGATGCCTTCATATTTCACTGTAAAGCTGCTATTGGCATTCAAGCATAAATGTAAAGGAGAGAATGGTACACAAAGGATTGATTTGTCTAGATAAGAAAATAAACAATGTACTGCATATGGCATTGTAGCACTACTTGGGCAAATGGTCTCACATCAGAACAACAAATGTTGAACTAATACATTGCTGCAAAACAAGATATATTTATAGCTGCCGTATTAATATGATATAGTTAAACATGTTCTTGCCTGGCAGCAGTATTGTTACAGCAGAGGTGTCTGTCAAGCAGGATATTGGTGGGAACATGTAGCAACAGTAAGCCACTGAGGGACAGAATGTGTAGATGCATGAAAAAACACAAGTTAACACACATGAGGTCCAGCTGCTGTAAAGCAACCAGTTATAAGGATATAGGTCACTTAGAGATAGTAAGGAATGCTGGAGTCAGAGATAACACAGTGTGGAGCTGGAGGAACACAGCAGGCCAGGCAGCATCAATGGAGCAGGAAAGCTGACGTTTTGGGTCAGGACCCTTCTTCAGAACACACTGTGTTATCTCTATATAAGCTTATAGGTTCTCAAGTCTGCCACTTCCAGTTTAGGAGGTACAATGGTCAGGAATTTGTTTCATTTGATTTTCCATTCCTGACATCAAATGTACACCTTTGTCATTTCCTGTGAGTGTACCCCACTCTGACATTGCTGTTTATTCATATACTTTGTGATGCCCTGGTCCACTCCTCCATCACTGCTAACACTCCCCATGGCATCTTCACATCCAATTGCATAAGGTATAATACTTGTTGATATATCTCCCCCCACCTGACTGTCCAAGGCTGCAAACAAATCTGCCAGGGGAAGCAGTGTTTCACTTGTAGTACTTCTTTCAGATTAGCCTACTGCATTCACTGCTCACAATGCTGTCTCCTTTACAGTAGGGAGGCCAAATGCAGACTGGGTGACTGCTTTGCAAACACTTCTGCTCTGTCTGTAGGAATGACCCTGACCTCCAGCTGCTTGCCATTTCAATAAACCACTTTGCTCTCATGTGAACATTTCAGTCCTGAGCTTGCTGCTGAGTTCCAGTAAGGCAAGCTCGAAGAACAATACCTTATTTTTCACTTAGGCACCTTACAGCCTCTAGTACACAATATTGAATTCCATAACTTCAGAAACTGACTGCATATCTGTTCTCTATTTTTCTTACATTGTCTTCCCCTGCCCCTCCACATTCTTGACTTGTTTGTACACAAAAACAGAAACTTGCTCAAAAAACTCAGCAATGGCAGCATCTATGGAGAGAAATCAGAGTTAACATTTCAAGTCCAGTAGACCTTCCTTCAGAATTGATGGTAGGTAGGAAGAAGTTGTTTTTAAGGTGGGTGGAGTGGGTAATGAGTAAGTGATAGGTGAAGATAGAGCCCAAAGAGAGAGAAAAACAATTGGACAAAGGAGTGCATAACAGTTGGCCTAGCAGAATGAACTAATGGGGACTATTAGTGGCTGACGATGGGTTGTGTCTAATAGCAGACCATGTGATAACAAGTCCTGGCGTATGGGCATGGGGGAACACGTGGAGAGGGTGCTCAAGCTCTAAAATTGTTGAACTTGATATTGAATCCAGAAGGCTATACAGTCCCCAAGTGAAAAATGAGGTGCTGTTCTTCCAGCTTACTCTGAGCTTCGCTGGGGCACTGCATCAAACCTGAGACAGAGATGTTGACCAGGGATGTTGCGCAAGGAGTTTCCATCACTCTGCTATAGAAGAGGGGTTCAGAAAAGATTTACCAGGATTTTGCTGGGAATGGAGGATTTGAGTTATAAAAATATGGTGGATAGGGTGGAACTTTTTTCACTGGAGCGTAGGAAGTTGAGGGGTGACATTATAGAGGTTTATAAAATCATGAAGGGCATAGATAAGGTGAATAGCAAGGGTCTTTTCGCTAGGGTGGAGAAATTCAAAACCAGGGGTGTATTTTTAAGGTGAGAGGAGAAAGTTTTAAAAAGCACATAAAGGACAATTTTTTTTTTTTTACACAGAGACTGGTTCTTGTGTAGATTGAACTGCAAGAGGAAGTGGTGGTTGCAGGAATAGTTACAACATTTAAAAGATATTTGGACAAGTACATAAATGGAAAAGGTTTGGAGGGATATGGGCCAAACACAGGCAAGTGGGACTCGTTTAGTTTGGGAACATGTTCGGCAGGGTTTAGCTGGACCGAAAGGTCTGCTTCCGTGCTGTATGACTCCAAAACTAAAAATGAAGTTGGCTGACCAGTTAGAGATCCCACATTGCAAAGGTTTATTGTTCTAAGCACAAAGAACTTCATTAAATGAATGTGCAAACTTTTCTTTTCCCCTGGAAATTCCCTACAAAGTACTCTTTCCCATTCTCATTTCACCTGCAATGTTTTGTTCTGCTGAATTTGGATCCTGATTGCATAGAATTTCAAAACAGGATCACAAAGCTATAATAATTTGTATTTAAGGAATGTTCAATACAAAATCTGTGGTATGAACACTGATATAATTATTTTGGCTGTCATTGTAAAGAAAGCAGTCTCACTGAGATAATTCCTCCTATTTTCACTCCTATCCTGAAAACAAGTGTCTTCTATAATACAATCTAAAAGTTCTCTGGTAATTGCTTAGGTGGCTGTCTAAACCATGATGGCAAGGAATGAGCTGCTGCTGCCTCCCCATAGACTGACA